GGATCGAGGGCGCATAACGGCCGCAAAGGGGGCGCTCACAAGCACCCTTCTGAACGCTAAAATGACAAATAGGACACCCTAAGGTCTCGTGGACTTAACGGACACACGCAAGCGGCGGCCATTGTAAGTCCGCAAGACCGAAAGTGCGCATGAAGTGTTCCATTTGGGACAGGGCCATGGCAACAAGTGATGGGGAGTCGACTCCAAAAGAGTCGATTCATCTACTCTGAATAGCCTGTAGGAGTTGACTCTGGTGAAGGAATCGACTGTCGTTGTTGACTTCATTGTTGTGTCCAATATGACTCGTACAGTCATCCATATATAATGCGTGGCAGTTGAGATCACAATCATCAAAGAGTGAATTAAATAAAATGAGGAATTCCGTCCTCACAAAATAAAGTGAGGAATTCAGGTGAAACTAAGTTTTGGGAAGCACTGAAGCTTTCATTTCAACTGTATCATAAAAGGGTTCATTACCCAAATATTTTGTGGACATCTGGTGGTTAAAAGGATGATATGTTTTAAAAGGATGCATATGTTTAAAATAGACAGATCACATATTGTATTTATGAATGTATTTAATGTTTATTTTACTTAGTGCCAATTATAATCACTAAAACAATTACTAATCTATTTCCTTAAAATAATAGGCATTAAATACATTGCGTATGAAGAATCAGAAAAAAATGACCGCACCAAGGTGTGTTGAACTGCAAACCAGATGTACCTGTTTATTTATTTTCCAATAAATAAATAAATAAGTAAAGCATAGATTCAGTAGTGCAACCGTGACAGAATACCGGATCTAAAAAAGATGACTGCAGCTGAGGACGCGCTGTGGGGTTTGCGGCAGGGCGGTCTGAGGTTGGAGGGATATGTGGAGGGTTTTCTCGAGCTCTCTAACCGGGTGAGCTGGCACGACGCCTTCTCTAGCTGCGTGCTTCCTGCTGGGGTTGGATGACGAGATAATCCGCTGCGATCTGCTGCGATCTGCTGCGATCTTCTGACGTGTGATTTTCCCCTGATCGAGCTGATTAATCTCGTGCTGTTCTTAAATGGTTCAGATTTCGAAGTTGAAGAAGTAAAGAAACTTCCCAAGCCTCGTCAT